AAGTTATTTATCAGCATGATGAAAATGATAAACAACGTTGATATAGTGGGAGGAAAATTCCGATAAGCTGTTTGGCACTTTAGAAAGTAAGTAAGGGAATGTTCAACAAAAAAGATTGAACCAAAATGCTGTCTTGTGGTTTGAGTTCCTCAGAAAAAAAGCGCCATGGCAGCCCAGTTAAATTTGCCTTTCGGTGAGTCGAGTTATTTTTGTATCAGAAATCTCACTCGTCCGCGGATATCTGGTACATCAAAAACTCGTGCGTAAATGCCGTAAACACGCATTTTCCAGGAAGTATTCAATATATATCCTACAAACTGTTTCTAAATTACAAACAAATGCTGTGAAGTAATACTTGGGGTATATCTATCCCACGAGACATCATGTATTGTTTTCTGTTGGCAGAGGTTTTTTTCTTTCTTTCGAAATAAAAAGATTTGTATGAAAAAATCGTTGTTTCGGTAAATTTGAATTAAAATCCCTTAAAATTGCCTTTAGCTGAGTGTCTCTTCTTCCTCTGCACTGTAACCCCTAACAGATTTATGGCTATTTTGTGGGTGTTATGGTAACTCGTTTGCTCATATTACGAACATGGGCTGCTGTAGAGCTGCTAATTATATTTCAGATAGCTTTCGGTCATGTGAAAATCCAATACCGTCTTATACTTAAGCTCTTTTACAATGAATGTACACATCTCAAGTGTAGACATTTCATCACCAAAAAGAAAAACGGAAGCTCACGGAGTGCTTGTCAAAACATTAAAGTTTGTTTCGCTCAAGCTTTTGAAGGGTACTTTTTCATTTCATTTGGTTTTCAGTCAAACTACGAATTTTTTTTCTTTCATCGAAGCATTTTGTTCAAATGCTGACTCCGTTGCCTTAGACATAGACTGGTCGGTCTAGATTGCTGTCTATAAAGCTTTTAAGATTGAATCGTGGATGAAAGTAGCTCAGCATTTGTTCTGATCCTTTTCAGTTATTCATCATATTTACAATTACTGTAAAAAAGATTATAATGACAGATGTAAAGCAGAACTTGCTTGTAGTGCTGTTTTCGAAGTGTATTTCGTCACGAAAAGAAAAGCCAAAAAAGCGCTGAGCAAAACTTTTAAGTTTCTTAAATTTTGCTCGACAGAAAATAAAAACGCAGTCAGCATTGTTTTTAACAATGATATTAAGCATATTAAAATAACGCAAAGTAGTTGTTTTTCTAGTATTTTATTTCCTTGCCATTCTGAATATATATAATAACTAAAGTCACAGTAAATAATGATTGTGCGAGGTTAGTTTATACAATATTAAAGTTTCAAAAAAGACTTCATTGTTGAGGCCAAAATGTTGTTTGTATTAGCAATTCAAAGGTATTTAAAAGCAAACATCTTAGAATGTTGGTGATAGTGGTGGTGGTAGAGAGGAAGGGGGAGGGGGATCATGGCGTTTTGGGGGGCGGCAAAAAATATCTTACATCATCAGGGGGCTAGAATAAATTTAAGATTCCCATAATCCCCCCCCCCCCAACCCATAAGTTATGAACGGTCCCTTAAGGTGATGTGATTTGATGTGCCACGCCACTTTCTACCATCCTTTGATCACATGCTGTAATGTATCCCGAGCGGGGCACAATCGCTCAAATGTCGGGGATACATTTGATTTTAGTCGAGGCCGCATGTGACTAAGAATCAACTAATGGCAGTAACTGTTTAGTTGAGTGAAAGTCTAGGAATGTAACAACTTTTATTGCGTAAGTGTGCGCTAAATTTAATCACCGAAAACAGAAAGCTAACGGAGTTCTCGTCAAAACGTTAAAGCTTGTTTTTCAATATTTCGGTTTTCCAAGTACGAGTTTTTTTCTCTCTCATTGGATGCAGTTTGTTCAAAAGCTGACTCCGTTGACTTACACAGCTGCTTGACAAAGACTGGTTGTGATTACTTTCTATAAAGCTTAAAGCCTGAATTGTGGATGAAGGTATCTAAGCATGTGCTCTGAGCCTCTAACATATGAAAGAGGACTAGTCCGTTCAACATATTTACATTCACTGTAAAATAAGATTATTATGACAGATGTACAGCTGAAATTGCTTGTAGAGCGCTGTTTCGAAGGCTGTTTAAAGCGCTTTAATCAAGAAAGTGTGAGTTAAACTTCATTTCGTCACGAAAAGAACACCAAAAAAGCGCTAGAAAAAGCATTCAAGTTTATTAAATTTTGCTCAACAGAAGATACCAAACTCATTGTTTTAACAATGATATTAAAATAACGCAAAGCAGTTGTGGTGAAGCGGTAGCCTCTATAAAATACTCCATTTGTGGGTAGGTAAGTATGAATATATAAGGGCTGGCGTGTGCAAGATATGTACAATAGTAATGACTGTAAAATAAAACCTACACTGTGTCACAATAATTGTAAATAAATGATAAAAACCGTTGTGAAAATGAACATACACCAGTACCTTTGAGCGAAGATACACAACTGACGCAGCCAAAGGCTAGAACAAGGGCAGTGCAAAGAAATGTGTTGTGCATGATTCAGTTCTTGTCCTGCAGCCGTAAATTAACTACATAAAAGGAAAAAAAATGTAAGAATCGTTAAACTAAATTCGAAATGATTTTAATCCTTTTACTATTGTTATTACCTTTCCAAAGGAGTTTTAAAGCGCAGTTTACCTGAATTAAACAACCGAATGCAAGTTTAGTCCCTTTTTGGCTTGTCAAGCTTTCCACTCACAATGCTTTTGTTTCTAGCACCAATTGTACTTTTATGTCTAACTTCAGTAGGCGTGGTCAGTAAAGTTCAGGAGATCAATGTGCACACGTGGTCTGACGCAGATCGTGCGAGCATTTGCATTTTTTCACACTTGCTTTTGCATAAAAAACAAGGGATTTTTAGCGACAGTGCTGATCTGGCTAAGCTGTTGTATTATTCTTTACCTGGACCTGAGAGAAAATTTCGGTGTTTATTCTATGACCAATCCTGGTTGATAAATGATTTTGATCACGTAAACTTCCTTTGGCATACGAAGTGTCGGAAACTGTTGTCAGTAATATTTGATTATTATCGCATTTTCAATTAGTTATTATGCTACGCCAAACGTGACAAAATATCAAAGATGCAACTTTACCATTCAAATCCACCAATTCACTATCAAGATCGATAAAATTAACACCAATTTGCTTTTTGAATGTGTCAAGATTGTAGAATTTAATTTCAATTCCCACGTGTTTCATGTCATGTATCAAGAGACACGTTTTCTAAATCAAGATGCATGTTTTTTAAATCAAGAAGGGAGACTACAACTTTTGATCAGTTTTGTTTCCGAGAGGGACTGAAACCGAAAAATCTGCCATGCTCCATGAACTGCTCCATGAAGAATCCCGCCCTTTCTTGCTCATTCCCGCCCTCCCGCGTTCGACATGGCGGAGGAAGGAATCGAAGAACTTGTCAGAAGAATCATTCGAGCAGCACAAGGAGTTAACACATCTCAAACGAGTCAACACCTGACGAAGAAGTGAGGCGGCGATTTAAGAACGAGATAGGCTCGATCAGAAAGAAAGCAGAACAGGCTCTCGTAGAAGCGCTGGTGAAATATCACTACAGGCGCGCAGAACGATTAACAAACAAGCTTCGTAAACTCGAACAGTATAAACCTTGCAGGAATACTGTAAGGAATAATATAGGAATACTAAGCAGACGTCTCACCAGAAAACGCAATCACCGTCCAGAAAGAAAACTGTCAACAAAGATGACAATGTAAATTGAAGACTAAGATTAGCGAAGTCGATGTATTCAGTAGAACAAATGAGATCACAAGTGTGTGCGAATAAACAAAGTGAATCTTACTCTTGTCTCTTATCAGACTCCTTAGAAGTAACGGGAAAGGGAAAGCAAACCGCAGAGATAACAAAGCGGCCAAAAACCGCAAAAGAAAAGAGCGGAGAAGAATCAAAGACAAAAAGCGCTTTTTTAACGCCATTGAGTCACGCAAACAGTATATCAAAAAGCTGTCAAATGAACAACTGACAGATAAGCAAATTACTCTACTATCGCGTGGTCTAAAGTTTATCCCTACACCCGTGACAAAAGAAAATCTTATCAGGCGCCAGCTTCTCGCTGATTTCAATCAATTTGCGAGACGAATGCGACTATAATATATTTTTCACGAGGAAGAAAACGAACCTTATCCTTTCCATGTGAAGTCGGACTGTGAACCACCAGTCCAGCTATCTGTAGCTCTGGAGACCTTCCTAGAGGAGGTAAAATTAGAGCTCGCAAGTATTGAATTTGACAAGCCAAAAGATAATATATCTACGGGAGAGCGCCAAGCTGTCAAAGAGTTATCGCGCATCGAAAGCATTATTCTTAAGAAATCTGATAAAGGTAAACACCACCGTATTGATGAGCAGACAGGACAAACTAACGAAGGTCAGATTCTGCTTGATGATTTAAATAACTACCGACCTCTAGACAAACCAATGGTTGAAACTACAACCAAAAAAGCTCAACCACTTATTAAAACACTGCTGCTCTCAGAAGGCCACGTTGATAAAACGACGGCTAAAGGGCTCTCCCTTACGCCCTATCCTCCGCGAATCCTCGTGTTTTACACACTTACTAAAATCCACAAACCGACACCTGTCGGAAGACCTATTATATCAGGGTGTTACGGACCTACAGAACGGATCTCAGCATTTGTTGACCACCTTATTCAGCCAATAGCACAACTACAAGCTTCGTATCTTAAAGATACGACAGACTTTATTAACTTGATCGAGAGGATTAAACTGCTTAAAGTGCCATACATGTTTCAATGGACGTCACAATACAAAAAAAAAACACACAACGAGAGGGTATTACCACTGTATGCCTTGCGTACGAAGAATTTCACCAAGGAAACCCTCCAGTCCCTAAATGCTTAGTCTGATACTACAAGAAACTGACGCGGTCCAATTTAACTTGAAAGATTATCTTCAAACCCATGGAACAGCCATGGGCACGAAAATGGCCGT